TTTTTTTTCACCCGAGATAGTCAAAGTTGGGGAAGAAAATATCAAAAAGTTAAAAATCCAGAAATAGTCCTAATTTTATGATGGTTCCTTAATATATTTTAACTACATTGCATTTGAGTATGGAGAGGCAACTATCTGGAAGTATTTTACATAGAAAATTTACTAAGTATTGCCCGGTTTGTAGTTGCAGTTAAAGAAAACACATGAAAAGGCACGATTTTTTTAAATTCGAAAAAATGTAAATATTTCAAAAACGGTGACACTTTTACCTGAAAATTTTTTGTTTATCAGGGAGCTCACGCCCCCCCCCAGCCTTCCCCTAAAGTTTGGCACGTTACTTCTGGGACACCCTGTATAAACATGTACTCGTGTTTTTCATCGCACAAATACATATGTATGTATGTAGATAAGAACTTGCAAAGCCTCTAGTTAAATATACAAGCTAAGATAACTTTTCATATCCACTATTATTATTAAGGCGAAAATCACTTACAGTAGGGAGCATTTTCTTCCGTAAGAAATTCAGGCTCGTATAGAAAAAAGTGCAAAAAGCAGTCAGCAAAAAGAAACATATTAAAAATCAACGCGATTTTGCAGGGTACAAAACTGCATACTAAAAAAATTATATTATCAGATTAAAAAGCTCAAAATTTTAATCAACATTTTTTACATTTTTCTAAGCTCTTTATAAATTTTTAAATGTGATTTATATGGCTTTCATATTTTTATGAAAACAACTTTAAAAACTCATTTTCGTTGTTGGTGTTTCCGACAGGGTAGGAGTGTGGTGTAATGTGGAACGATTTTCCGTCATCCCTTGTCAAATTTGGTTTGGAGACAAACCGGTTTCGGCGTTGTGCCATCTTCACGAAAGAACGAAAAATGACACTGAAGATGGCACAGCGCTGGTGTCTAAATTGTATGGCTTCTCCTACCGGCAGAACTCTACCCACTTTCTGGCTTTCTGGCGTCGTCGCGGGGAAACAATAAAAAACTGCATTTGGGGGCTTTACCCCTACGGCTGCTGCAATTTAACACACGACACGACATTTTTATAAGGTTTTTATTCCAAATAAAACGTTTTTTACTTCAGAACGCACGAATTACTTCGATTTTTCACTTGAAAGTACATAATACGTTTGCAATACGTTTGCACTTGTTTGTAAACAAAAAGTTTGTTTACGTATTGCCATAAACGTCAAAGTCGGCAAAACCAAAGTAGCGGTTTCGGGAATGCGCCACCTTCAGTTCATTACACCATGAGTTGTGTGTTATGTACAAGGTCTGATCAGCTTTCTTTAGGCAAATAAAATAAAAGATTAAAGTCTTCAAATATTGAGAAAAAGAAGTATAACCAATATGTAGTTTGTATTGCAGATATTTATTCAGTAGTATAGGTAGGTATTAATACACTTTGTGTATAACATCCTTAAAAAAGTATTCAAAAGTAAAACAAAAGGTAATCA